CCCGCCAGCCTCTGGTCTCACCTCCTTAGCATCTGGCAGACTTAGGCTTCACTGCCTCCCTCAACATGCCAGGATGCTTCTGGGCCCAGGGATGCACAACTGTGCAGGACGCCTGCTCCCTCGGCCAAAAAGCAGGAGTTCAGGTAGCTTGTGCCCAGGGCCAGTGTAAGGAGCATTGGTGTGCAGGGCTGACCATTAGCAGTGCGGACTCCATCCTGTTCCCAAGCGCTTGCTCCATGGTCAAGTGCCACCCGCACGCTGCCCACCACGTGACCAGAGTGGTGTCCTGGGGCCCCTGCATGGCCCAGGTGTGGCTGAGCGGGCTCTGCTCAGGCAGCCATCGCGCAGTGCTGTGCCACACAGCCAGCAGGCCAGCTTCATCCTCGTTTCAGCTGGGGGACTGGCTCCCCTCCAGAGCAGCTGCCAAGCTGTGCCCAGGAAGGCTCTGGCTCCATCCTCCCTCCGTCTCCGGCAGCAGCTGCCTGTAGCTGTGCTTGACCAGGGGGAGGGAGCCTGACAGCCCCGGTGCTGTCCAAGGCAGACAGAGTGCCTTTGGGGACCGTGTTTTGCTCTGCCCCGGCCTGGGAAGGCTGAGCATCCAGCTGAAATTGAGAGCCTGATGCAGAGCTCCCTGTGTCCTGGAGCTGTGGGCTGGTGCTGCTTTATCTTACTTTCAGTTTGTCGTGCTGGGGCAGGGTAGGCATGAGCAAACAGCTGTAGGCAGAGCTATTGAGGACCATGAGGCTGAAGGAAACTGAAGATGTTGGGATGATTTCTTCCCTCCCACCCCACAGGACAGCCAGGCTAAAAATAATCCTTTGCCTCATGCTGTGCATGAAAATAAAGGAGACTAAAAAAAGAGTGGTCCTGTCTCATAGTAGTTAAGGACCTGCTTGGATTAAAAACATAGATATGGTCTTATATGCCTTGTGGGGGATGACTATAACCAGTGCCATTGGCTGGGAAATCCCATGGAAAATAAGGCATGTATCCTTCACAGTGGCAGAGACTAACCAGCATGATTGCACTTCTGAAGAGGCAGGAGCATCCCAAGTGCTTGAAGGCTGTCCAGCCTGCCCCACCACATCCCCCTGTGCAGTCTAGGAGCTGGGTTTAAGCCAGTGTGTGCCACTAGGATGGCCTGGCCAGAAGTCTCAGGAGCACTTCAGCTAGGAGTCTGCAGGTTTTGTACAAACCAGGCACATAAGATCGGAGAAGAGTCTATGACCAGCCCCCCGCCCCCCCCCCCCAGCCCTTCTTTCAGCCATCCAGGGTTGTTGGGAAGAGGGGGAGCCAGAAGGGGGCCCAAGGGTGGGGATGGGGAAATCCCAGCAACTCCCTGATGGCCCTGCCTGTTCCTCCATGCAGGATGGTTCCCCCACCACCTGTCAGCAAGCCCCACGTGTGCCTCTCCACTGTGCTCATCATGACCAGCCTTGTCCTCATGGATGCCTACCTGGTGGAGCAGAGCCAGGGCTCCAGGAAGCTGGGCATCTGTGTCATGGTGGCAGTGGGTGACATGTGCTTCCTGCTGGTGCTCCGCTATGTGGCCATCTGGGTTGGGGCAGAGGTAAAGACAGCTAAGCGGGGCTACGCCATGATCCTCTGGTTCCTGTATGTCTTTGTTCTGGAGATCAAAGTCTACTTTGTATACCAGAACTATAAAGCTGACCGGAAAAGCCTGGATCTCATAGCCCGCAAAGCGCTGACCTTGCTGCTCTCCATCTGCATCCCAGCCCTCTACGTGCTGTTGGTGGCCACAGAGCACATGGAGTATGTCAGGACATTCAAGAAGAAAGAAGATCTCCGCAACCGCCTTTTCTGGGTCATTGTGGACATGCTGGACGTGCTGGACATCCAGGCCAACCTGTGGGAGCCCCAGAAGAAGGGGCTGCCACTCTGGGCTGAGGGCATCATGTTCTTCTACTGCTACATCTTGCTCCTGGTCCTCCCATGCGTGTCCCTCTGTGAGATCAGCATGCAAGGAATCGGCATCATGCCGCACCGGATGATGCTGTACCCCATGCTGAGCATGCTCACTGTCAACATCACCACCATCTTCATCCGAGGCAGCAACATGGTCTTCTTCAGGGATGCCCGGGTCTCCAGCATCTTCATGGGCAAGAACATGCTGGCCATTGGGCTGAAGGTCTGTATGTTTGTGCAGTACCAGCGACACCGGCAGCACAGTGCCCAGGCCCAGCCCTCCCCAGGGCTGCACAAGTCCCGGGACCAGCCTGCCTGCCCTGAGGAGCTGGCTCAGGACAATACGTGACAAGCCAGCAGGAGCCATAGCCTGGGCACTGCCACACCTGGCCGTACCTGCAAACCCGAGGCAGGCCACTGAGCTCCCCGCCTGGACAGAGGGCGATGACCCTGCTCTCTCCCTGGGCGAAGCTGCTCCGATCCCCAAGGGTCGCATGGCAGGGTCCCCCTGTAGCAGCCTCCATAAGGCCGCAGAGCAGTTTGGGACCTCAGCACCCCACCGAGATGGGCAGCAGAGGAGCAAGCCAGGTTCACCTACCATGTGTCCTGCCTGGCTGGGTCCCGGTAGCCCTACCCTGTGACAGGCTCCCATCAGTGCTCCCCATGCAGCACTGCCCTCTGGCCAGCCAGGGCTCAGGCCAGGGGGCTGCACAGGGACACTGTGGGCTACCTGCTCCGCTGTTGCGGTTGGCCCTGGCTTCAGCTCGGTGTTTGGCAGCAGACTGCTCCCCTCTGTGTGAGCCAGGGTTCCTGTGCTGGGGAGCAAGGCCCAGCCTGTCGCCCCTCTCAGCCAGCTGCAGACCTGGGGGGCCCAGAGGGGGTGACTGTCCTTTTTCGTATCTCCCTCTTTGCAATAAAAGACCTGAGCCCTGCAGTCTCTTCCTGTTTGTGTCCCTGCCAGCAGGCAGGTCCCCCCAGCTCCTGTGGGTGCCTGTCCCTTGCGTGCCTGGATGCCCAGCTGCAGAGCATGTCTGGGGTGGGGGGCTCACTCAGGCCTGGGGAGAGCATCCCAGGCACCTGGGTCTGAAGCCATTTCTCCTGGCCAGCAGGTCTGGTGGGCTCTGAAGGTGTCACTGGGGGAAGGGGGTATGTGTGGAAGCTTTGTCAGCCACCACTGCCTGTGCAAACAGCTGCACCTACATCAACTGGTGCCAGCCATGCCCAATGGCTGCTCTCCCCAGGCACACCCATACCAAGTGCCCACACTCCACCTGGAAGGACACACGGCTGGACAGCATTAGAAACAAAAGGAACATAACCCAACTGACTCCTTAAGCCACTGGGAAGAGCAGCTCCCCTGGCAGTAGAAAGCTCTCTGGAGATAGTGGAAGCATCTCCTCCTGTTGGAGCTGGTGTTGCCATACTGCTGCCTGCCCCAATGCCCAGTACCACCACAACAGTGGCTGAGCTGGGCAATGCCCCAAGGCTTCCCCTACTGCAAGGTACTGCACCCAGGAGCTGGCAGGGAGAGACAGGCCAGTAAACTTGCTCCTCACAGCTAATGTGCTGAACAGAAGTAGGTGACATCCCAGCCAGGATGTCCTCCTTGCAGGCAGGCACGCAGGCCTCAGCGCACCACTTTTTGGGTACATCAGGCATGCTCCCTACTGGGCAGGGCCTTACCAGCAGCTGGGGATGGGGACACATGGCCCCTCAGGAAGGCCCAGGCAGCAGTGACTCAGGGCTGAGCCACCTCCTGCCTGTCCAGGCCCCAGTCTTCTTCCCTTCCTGCATTAAAGTACAGGTGGAGGTTTGTTCAGCTTTGGATTAAAAATTGAGAGCATAAATCAGGATAGCTTTGAGCTTTGGTGTTGCCACACCGCTCCCAAGGTAACTCTCTGCTGAAGGCACAAGGATGCAGCAGGCTCTGCATCCCCCATCACGAGGCAAGAAGAGGAGGAAGCAACCAGACACAGTGCAAAGCAATAAGCCACATGCAGGTTGACAGCAGCTGAGGATTTCCATGTGGTCTCTAGCCAAGCTGGCACATGCCATTTCTACTGCCTTCCCCCAGTTACACCAAAACCTGTCACCAGAGCAGAACTCACATCACCCACAGGAACAGCAGTGGAGGCAGACTCTTCAGCAACACCCTCAGGTGGGTGTGGTGGAGTTGCTCATCATTCCATTTCTTGCTCTTTGCAAGGCCTTTCCCCAGGCCCCACACATGAGCTGCCCACAGCACAGCTGTGCCCAGGGAGCTCTCTGCCCTGCAGAGCTGGGGCACTCTCCCAGCACGCTCTGGCCTGTCAGATTGTCTAGGTTACATCCACATCACCTCCTTGTGAGCACAGCCACAGGAGACAGGGGCCATCAGGAGTGAGAAGAAACGAGAGCTGGTGGTCAAACACAACACTGGAGAGAGGCATTAACTCCCATAAGTTTAAACACTTTTAACGGTAACAGGGAATAAAGGAAATCTGAGGTATTCTATTTCATACAGCCCTGTAGAGACCACCTTGAGAAGCCAGGAAGACGGGCAGCCCTGCTGGAGATCCTGGGCAGCAGTACCCCAATAGGGTCAGCAGCATGCCCTGGCTGTGAGGAAGGCCATCCACACCAGGGGCTGCATCACCAGGGTGCAGCCCACACAGGGGCATGATCCTCTCCCCTTTACTCAGCACTTGTGAGACTACGTCCAGATACTGCACCCAGGCTGGGCCCCCAGAAGATAGATGTTGGTCCTCTGGGCCGACTCCAGTTGAGGATGTGAAAGTTGTCAGAGGCTAGAGTACAGCAAGGAAAGGCTGAGGGAACAGGGTGTATTCACCCTGAGGAAGAGACAGCTTTAGGGAGACCTAACAGCACCCCTTTCCCACCCACTCCCCCGACTGATGACAAGACTACTGAGAAGACAGAGCCAGGCACTTCACTGAAAACAAGACAATAATTATGGACTAAAACCAGGAAGGTCTCCGGGGCGGGGGGGGGCAGGGGAGGAAAGCGGGTAAATGGGGGGAAGTTTCATCTTGAGATCCTGAAGCAGTGGAGCAGAGGCCAAGAGAGGTGGTGGCATCTGTCCTCAGATGTTCCCAGACACAACTGAAGAAACCCTTGGCACACTGGTCTGAAGCCAGTGCTAGCCCTGCTCTGAGCAGGCCTTGTACCAGAGCCCTCCCACCTGAGGTCCTTTCCTACCTCTGCTAGCGTCTGATAAAACCTGGAGTAGAGCCAGCAACACAGGGTAGGGCTCGTGCTCTCCTAGCTAGAGGAAGAGATGAGCAGGTGGCAAGGGTAGAGACAGCTGTCAACACCATGTGCACCTGCATGACAGACTTGTCACCAGCCAGGCATAGTGTAAACCACAAGTGAAGAGGACATTTCAGCTACAAAACACACTATTATTGCCTTCAGTTCAGCATCGCTGTACAGTAAAAGGCAGATACTAGGAAGAGGGATGGCCATCTTTCAGTTCTGGCCAGGGCAGAGTGAGTTCCAGCGCCAGACAACAGCATGTCTGTCCAGTAGTCACAAGTTCTTTTGTGAGGGCAGATGGCGCTTGTCTTTGATGGCATTCCTCTTCCTCTTCTTGTTCAGGAAGCTCTCCAGCTTTCCACTCCTCTTCAGCTCTGCATACTTCTCAGCCAGCTCCAATTTCTGCTTCTCAGCTATAGAGGAGAGGAGAGCAAGGTTTTAAACTGAAGCCAAAATCATCTCTACAGACCAGCCCCTTCTCATTTCTCCCTCCCTGGCTCCAGACCTGGCTTGTCCCTTGAGTACCAGTGCTAGATCCCTCCACAGCTCTATGGAATATTACAGACAACTCCCAGTGCTTGGAGTCCTGTCTGTAGTATTCCCTCTAGGTCTTCCTGCAGGATGTTCACACTAAGTACTTACATTTCTTTAGGAAGAAGGGTTTCTTCCCCTGCTTGGCCAATTCCCTCTGTTGTTTCTTCAAAGACAGCTCCCTCTCCCTCAGTTTCTGCTGTTTTTTCTGTGCCTGTTCTTGCTGTGTCTGTGCAGAAAGGATGGCCTGTGTCAGCAAGCGTCTAGGCAGACCTCAGGTCGCACATCCTCTCTCCTAGTGCATCACCTCACAGGAGAGATGCTGCACTGAACTCACCATGCGGTTCAGGAGCTGCTGGAGTTTCTCCTTCTGCTCCATGTTCCGGCATTTTTTCAGCTGCTTCTGAATCATCTGAAGAAGAGAGCAGAAAGCTGCATGACTGCCTGCCTGCCACCTCCACTGGTGAAAGGCCTTTGTGGAAGCTGCCCCTGCCAAGCAAGGATCTTCTGGCGAGGACAGGCACATAGCATCACCTCCTTCTCCTGCTTCTTGATGCTGTCCAGGAAGCTGTAGGTCTTCATAAATATTTCAGGCTTATATTCCCCAGACAGGTCATCAAATCGAGGGTCTCTGTGGACCTGAAAGCAGGGAAGGCAAAGGTAAGATCTGTGGCCAGGATTACCCTGTTAATAGCCTGTTTACTCTCCTTCCGTGGATCAGACCTTGCCTTTTTTTTTTTTTTGTTACTAGAAATATTATGCACCCACCATTGAAAACATCTGCAGTTGGCAAAGACCGAGTCCAATAATCAAGGTAGCTGTCCTTTGCAAAGTCATCACACCTGCATCCAGTCTACCAAGCAAGAGGCATTTCCATATGCAAGTCTACCACCCAGGAGTAGCCAATTCAAGGAACAGCAGCATGAATGCTGCCTCCAGACATCTGCAACTCCCAGCCCGAGAGCTGGCTGAATGTGTGTTGTCAAGGCGATGGATTTGGGAATTCAAACCTATCTAGATTTTCACAGATTATCTGGGTCAGGTAATAAAAAAAAAAAAAAAAAGAGAAAAATAAACCTCTAACTGTGGAAATTAACATACGATCTAGCAATGATAAGTCAAAGTTATACTTAGATTAGTAACTAGATGGACATTTGAACTTCCAATGTTCAGTGCTGAACAATGACCATAGCCTGACAGTGCAAATTGTCATTGGTGGCAGCCATTACATCTTCCAGAAGCACTTGGGTCTCAGATGTTCGAGTTAGTCCTCAAGCTGTGCGTTATGCAGAGCAGCAGGTTATACCTAGAGCAGCCGCTCCTGCACCCCAATCTCTTGTTCTCTGCAGAGACAGGCTAGCACTACCTGCATTCACAGATGGTGGTCCAAGCCCTATACTCCAGAAACAGCCCACGTCATCTTCAGCAGCCCCATTACCATGTCTGTGCCCTATTAGCATTGCTAACAGGAGTCAGGTCCTGAACTGGGGAGTGGGAGCACCCACCTTCTTTTTAACAGAGACGACTTGTCGCAGAAAAGGTACAGGCTTTTTGGCAGACATCTCCAATGGCCTGAAAAAGAGAAAATTGTGCTTAAGAGGAGCAGAGGATAGAATGAGGCCCAGGCTAATGTGTCAGGAGCTTAGCCAGACCCTCAGGAGAACATTACTGCATAGTGCCAAAACAGCAGACTCTCCACTCAATCTTCACCATGATACCTACAGAGAGCAAAGAAGTGACTCGGTCAAGAGTCAGATAAAGCTAATACAACTAAATTATCTATAAATGCATGGTTAAAACAATCCTACACAAAACTTGCCCCACCCACATCAGTAAATGCATTGTACTCAATTCCTACTATCCGTGCTTTCACTCATCATGCAACAACCCTCTTTTCTTTCTGGCCCACCAACTCATCCACTCTGGACTAATACTTACACTGAAAGTTGGGAATTTCTGCACTGACCTGGTAGTTACAAAGACAGGCCAATTCTACTGTGGCCAGGCTCAGCGAGAAAGCATATCATAACACAAGTAAAGAAAAGGTCAGCCCCCAGGAATAAGGGCCATACAGCTTATGGTACATATCCCAAGAGAGACTTCACAGTGAATCAGGACCATGAGGACTATGGTGACAACCAATTAAGTGAAAAGGTTCTCCTTGTAACACAGGCCTTTGGAGCTTGATGCTTTAGGTGCACACAGGGGACAGTATAAGGTGGGAGAACAGGGTATTACTCTCTCTCCCCATATTACTTGGATGCTGTGTCCTGCGATTTGTCAGAACTTCAGGTAAGTTATTAGAAACATGAAAATACCTGTGAACCACCCACTGAGAGTACCCACAATGGGGCATTATACCCAGATTCAGCAACACAACAACACCTGGGCAGGAACATAAACAACCCCACAGGCATAATAAGTTTTCCAAATCCCACTTAGGGCAGTGTTTAGTGTATTTTCATGTCCGCTGATGTGGCTACACCCCTGTACAATGCTCTCGAGTCAGCTCTCGAGCTTTATACAGCATTGCTGAAGTCAGCTCAGTTCCAGGGGATTTCCCCGAAGTCTTTTTATTTTTTTTATTTTTTTATTTTTTTTTTTTAAGCAGCTCACTTCTATAACAAAAACATGTGAGAAACAGCATGTGGGATTTACAGTGATGCATCACTTAAAGGATTAGGGGAATTAAATAAAAACAGAATTATGCAAATTATGTGGCAGAAATAGAGACACTGTGTAAAAACTTTGCACTACAGAAAATCCCCCAGACTCTTGGGTAAAAGGTAAAGCAGAAACATTATTCTAATCAACTGTTTACAGCAGAAGATTCATGTATTCAGCAGAGATTCAGAAATAGGTTAGGGAACACCGGTATAACAGAGGAAACCTGTTCAAATCACTTAGCTGGTTTCAGTCCTCAGAGTCATATCTAACTACCACAGATAAAGGGTAATGGTATAACAGATGTTACCAGCAGGGGCCTGTGGTAGACTGTAAGAAGACCTGATAGGTCTTGTTGTGTTGAATACATTTTATAGTCACCACATTAATAGCACCTACAGAGTATGCAAATAGGAGATGTAAAGACCACTGAGGACAGGAAAAGTCTGTGAGGATAAGTACTGTAGAAGGGAAAAAAGGAAAATCAACACAGAGAAACCACAGATGAAACAATAGCAGAAGGATGAATGGAATTCCAGAAAAACTGGCTCTCACTGCAACTCCAGCCAGTGGGAGCCAGGCAGAAGATGCTGATAAAATGGAAGAGGTTTAGAAAACAACAGGGTACCTATTTCAGGGCCCAGGGGACACAAGTAAAGCACTATCATACAGCTTAAAAGAGAAACATAGCATGCCATGTCTTAAAAGTGCCTTAATACAGAGGGAGTGAATGGCGATTTAACTAGCAAGTAGCAGGTGGCTGCTGAGGATTTGAACAGGATAGGATATTAAGAGCTCTGAAACAGCAATAGACTATTCCCAAATGAAACACTATAGTAAAAGACATTACTGTGTAGCACCTTAAAGTATATCTACACCAGCTTGAAGGCAATGGCAATACTGTCAGGAGCTCCCAACATAACTTCTGGAGTGCAGAGAGCGCACATGCACATTTTTCTGATCACAAAAGAACCTCTTTACCCCTTTTTGCCTTGTTGTTGCTTCACCATAGCTCTGGTAGGTTTTGCAGTTTTCTTCCCGCCGGTCACCTGCTTGCACGTTTTCATTCTCTTACCACTCTGCGCCTGCAGTCGTTCCTCAAAAGACATGTGAGATTGATCTGGAATAGAGTGCAGGACACACCTGAACTGAACAGCTTCTCAAGGCACTCCCCACCCTCAAACTCCACCAAGAAGAATGTCTCAGAGTCTGAGACAGTGACATGAGTACAGTGGTGCCATCCAACTGCATTGCAGAAAGAAGCCACTGCATCTTACAGCCTTTGATTTCTGCCTCATTAATTGCTGCTGTCTTTAGCACTAGAATAGTCTGCCCCTCTCTCCAATGTGTCTTTGCTTCTCTTTCCACTCAACAGAACACACAAGACCAGTTCAAAGTTTTTGCCTGGTACAAAGAGCAGTATGAGCTCTGCACTGGGCTATATTTTGGCTGCATTGCAAATTCCGAGGGGTCGCCTCTCAGTCCTGGCACTTTAATAGGCTGTTCTTGCCCCATTGCCTTTAAATGGGTATCATCACATCCCTCATGGCATTAGACCAGCCAGAAGGTGCAGGAAAACCACGTGGCCAGTTCAGTCTGTCTGTTAAGACTCAGAGACAGTCTCTCTGCACTGCACATTCACCATAGCTCTGCTCAGTCTGCAACGAAGCAATTCCCATAGCAAAGCCTCCTCAGCACCCAAGAGACCTATAAACAACCAAAATCCAGACATTCAGTCTTCACGGTCTCACTTACCAATAGGAATAGCTTATAGTCTGATTCACTGCAGGAAGAACAAAACCCCACAACACCAAAGAGCAGTTTCATATTCTAGCCCTGCTGTGAGGTCCCCACAGTGTTATAAAATATTCCTTCTCTCCTCTGACCGCTGACTAGAAAACCAACACAAACAACACAAGAAACAACAAAATCAATTCTACCCAAAGTGCTGATGAATGCACAAGATAGTCTTCTGGAATTTTCTGTTGGACACTGCCCCATGACACAAAGTTTCTCCATGCTCTGCCCAAATGTGCTGCCATATTCAGGAAGCAACATGAGGTCAGTCACATTGGCTCAGAGCGTGGACTCATCATCCCAGTCACTCTCATCCTTGCAATAACCAAGGCTTTCTGCTTCAGAATCTACTCACATCATCCAGAAGATGTGATAAGCACATCCAAGCGCTGCCTCAAGAAACATTTTCTTTTTGCTTGTTCTGAACACACAGGAGTTCTGATCTGTCAACACTCTTTAGTCCTCTGAGGAAGGTTATGGGAACACTAGTTTGCCACACAAGGGACAAAGGAAATATGAATACAGCACTATTTCATTACACTGTTTCCCCAAAACACCCTTCCCCCTTTTCTTACTGCAGTCTGATATCCTCTCTTGCTTGGACTCCTGCAAACACCCTTGCCCCCGATCTTCTTAGGGATGACTGTCACCCTTTCTGATCTCCCTCAGGTTCTCCATTTTTCACCACGTCACCCTTGTACAATAACTTATTACCTGCTTGCCCAGAACATGAAATCCCCTTCAGACCAAAGAACTGTGCTTGCATTCAGGTAAGAGCTGAGTGCCAAGCAGCTCAGCAACTTGAAGTAATCAGGCTGTTGGGTTTCGCACGGACTGAAGAAAACCAGTAAATTCTAGGACTTAGACCAAAGAATTTGCCACCACACCGTTCAAATTCAGACACCTTTAGACTTCTGCACTATAAGAAAAATTTGTGCTAGTTATACAAGTTACTGGGGTATAGAGCAACTAATCACTATATAGGGCAATATTTGAGTATCACTGGGTACTCAAAGCATCACCAGACAGACAAATGAAAGACTCTGAGCAAGGACAGTCAAAGGGGAAAAGAAGGCATTAAAGGTAAAGAAGAATGATGTGGAAGCTACTCTAACATTTCACAAAGACTGACAAGACACCATCACTTGCACTACAATACTCCATTGGGCTGCAATTCCAAAACAGTATTGTTAAATAACAAAGGCTGACAAGATGTCAGTGAAATAGACAAAGACACCATATAAAAAGATGCAACATCTAGCAAAGGATTAGAAAAGAGATTTGGTATAAATCAGACAAAGCGAAAGCATGCAGAGCTTCCACTGATAAAATATTTCAATACTGGTAACAGGATACCAGATCAGACTTGACAACCCAAAACCTAGTGTGGAAAGCACTTTCCCCACAGTAGTATCAGTCCATGAAATACACCCTACTATCTATTTGTAGGAGACTGAATTAGCCACTCGCATAGATAAAAACATCATTTGACATCAGCATAAAAAATAAGCCTGTTTTGAGGCACAAGTGAATGGTCCCAGCAGGTGTTCACTTCTGGACAGCAGATTTGGCAGCTGCATGTGTGAAAAGGTTGCTGGCTTCCTGCTCCAAAGTGGCTGGTCCCATCCACAGCCTCCACGCAAGGAGAGCTCATGATCCTCAAAATCTGTGCTGATGGGTTCTCCACCAAAATACCTATTAAAAGACAGGATTACCTTACTTTCCTTGTTTCTCACAGTCTCCCTCAACACTTTAAATTTCCCAATTATTTTTTTCATTCTTTTTACCCCCTAGAATACAATTTACCTTTTCTGTGCTGTCTCTATAGCCCATTTCATCTTCCCTGCTGCCATTTTTTCCCTTCCTCCATTATTGTGTGGATTGTTTCCTCTTCTTTCCACCTCTTGCTAAGCTACTGTTACCTGCTGATAACACAGGCATTTCCTGCTCACCAGCACAGCCTCCCCAAGTTTCCTCTCCTCCTGCAGACTCCTGTGACATATGGACACCTTATGCCTTTCTCAGCTGAACCTGTTGAGAACTATACAATCTGCTGAGCACATCAAAGAGTGCCCAGGATACAGTAACAGAGGGCCTAAGAAATGGCTTGTGTCCACCCAGTCATTCCTCACTGAGACAAACTTAGTGCTGGACTCTGATATAACTTCTTCTGTTCCAGAAATGAGATTACAGAGGGCCCAGACAGACGGTAAAAGCAGAACCGCTGTTTCCATTGTGACTGTCAGCGGTCTTCTCTCCGATCTTTGCTAAAGCTCACCATTAAGAGAGGAAAACAAAATGCCTGTTATAGATGGGGGGGACCCCACTGACCACTGGAATCCGCTTCCTGAAAGCCTACCTCTCAGTGAGATTCGCCTCCTCCACAGCCCCCCCCAAACACAGCAAGGTGACTCCGCTCACAAGACAACCAGTAACTTCCCATGCCTGTGACAAACCGCACCACACCAATTATTTAACACTGATGTCCGTTCTCTCACAAGTCTCTTCGAGGGCCTTTGCCACACTTCTCGTACAATTTTCATTCTCACCTTGATCATCTCAAGACAGGGAAACCACATTGCGCCTACTGCTGCAAGAGTGAGAACAACCGCCCCAATACCCCGAACCTCAGCACCGCCGCTGCTGCCGCAGCTATACACCACCACCACCGGGTTCCTCCAGTCTGCCTGTCCTGTTGAGGGCCTTTCAAGCTACTGCACGTCTAAATTTGCACCGAACAACTGCCTTTGAGAAGACAGAGGAGCTATTCCCCAGACAGAGAAGAAGAAGATGCCCCCACGAGCTTTTGTTCCAGAGGCCTCAGCTCAAACTGAGACCCCGCTGTTGATCCCGAACTCATCCTCCCAGGACAGCAGGTGGGGGGAGGAAAGGAGAACGAAGGAGCTGGAAGACAGAACGAGGGCACGCCGCTTCCCCCGGCTGGGGGCCGCCGCCCCCCCC